TTCGATGTTGAGGCATTCTCCTTTCTTTTTGGATATAGGGGCATTCATCTCGACACCTTGCATCTTTTATTTAAGGGAATAATTTCGACGTTCAATAAAATGTTAAAACAAAATTTTATTCGATACAGCGATACCTTTGAACGCCTCGCAATTAGGCAACAGTTTTCGTCACTAGCGTAAAATGAAATTTGTAGACTGAAGCATAGTTTGTACTTCAGAAATTTAAATGGTTCAGAAATGATAAAAATAGTAAATATATTTTATATAATTTTACGATCTCTCTGTCTCTCTCTCTCAACGTTTTTATTAATTATTGCTAGAGAAACCGTCTATATTTAATTTTACTTATAACCATCACTACTTATATATTAATTAGTATAAATATACATTTTCCATTTCTCACTTGAGCACATTTGACTGTCTTCGGTACACATATTGTTGTCGAGTGTGCAGTTTAAAGCGTTGCAAGCGGCATTAACCCCATAACCCCGTAAGGCGCACGCATGGAAATTTGCGCTGCTGTTGGCAATTACCGTTACAATATGGCTGCGCATGCGCACATCGTGCTGTTGTTGTTGTCAACACGCTCGTAACTTGCAATCAACTTAAGATGACAGTGGAAATGAAGCATTGACGCGTCGCACGTACCATGGGCGAACAAAACAGACATTGGACAGGAAAGCCAGGAAATGCAATGCCTAAGTAAAGGTGTTGCCGAACCTGTTGCAATCAGGTTTGTGTCTCGATGTGCCACGACCCCCACTCACACACACACACACACACAAACACACTCAACACCCAGAGAGCCGTACTGCGCTCAAATTAGACACATTTTATTATTAAAATCCACTTGTGTTGAAATAAAACACGACTTTCTGTGTCGCACATAATGAAAATATATGGGAAGTTAATACCAGAATTTATTTATCACCATGGCGTGTATAAAAAGCAACAACATCAATGAACGCAACAACAACTAAGACGATGGGCAGTAGGTACAAGTACATGCGAGCTTATGGGAACTCGAACGTGCACAGCAACAATTTCAAAGCTTATGGTGTATTTACATGGTTGCCTAGAGTTGTACGGAGATAAATTATTAACAAAAATGCTGCCATTTTAAAGTTCTTTAATTCTTTACATTCTGAATTATATATTTTGATAAAACCTACATTTGGTTGCAGTCAAAAGCAGGGGATAATTTAATATTTCAAGAGGTAAAAAACATAGATTAGCCCACATGTAAGGTCGAGTTCATACAATAATCCAAATACCATATTCTTAAAGGTCTGTCTCTTTCTACTCCTTACTTTTTCTAATTAGCTCCTAAGTAGAATTAATTTTCCTCTTCTACATACTATTTGTTTAGATTGTCAGGTCTATAATGTCTCTGACCACATATGGCTGTGAATCGGGGCATAGCCAATTGGGGTGGGGGGGGGGGGGGGGGCAACTGGCAAATAAAATTCCCCCAACGTGTCGGGGGCATTCGGGGGTTTTCTTATCTTGTAAGTTGAGACTTTGTTATATTAATCATATTTGTATTTTTAATTTTAAATCTTAATATATATATAATATGTTAATACTTATATATTGTTTTTGAATAAATCGACAGAACCACTTGTTGATTTAAATAAATAAATAAATAAATATAAAAAGGTAGTACGGATTATGTAGAAGCCTCCATCTATCTATATAGTGAAGGTATCAATTTTTTGCAATTCATACAATGTTCCCGACAAATATGGCAAAGACTGCATCATTTTACAGTGTATTTTGAAACCTATAAAATACTGGATAAAACTATTAGGAAAAGGGTTGTGGCTACAGTACTTTTTAAGTGTATTTCCACCAGAAAGAAGAAAACAGTTAAGTCCAATTTCTTCTCTGCGAAACCTTGAACTATAAAGGAGAAACTAATATAATCTAATTTCGAACTAGCATGCGAACCCCTTACCGGCTCATCGGCTTTTGGGTCATATGAAGCAAGAATATTCCCATCTAAGACTATATCACAGTTATTATAATAACTCATGAGGTTGCAAACTATTTTAGCTATAGGTGCTTTACTTTTTAAGTTGCATTCTATAACAAAATAACAGCAGCGCAATTTTTTACGATTTACTTGAAAGAAGAGAAGAGCAGCAGAATCTCTGATTGGGCTGCTTGTTGCCAAGCTGTGAGAGAAAGAATTCAAAGACAACACGTGCAGATCAATGAACGTTGACATCAAGGATTTTGTCGCCTACAAACAAAACAATCAGATCGTCGTCTTCTGCACGTACTCTCGCTCTGTCTCTCCTACTACTATCTCTCTCTCTCTCTCTCTCTCTCCCTGTCTTTCTCTCTTTCTCTTTGCATATCAATCTTCCTACATGGCCATGCTAATTGCTGAGCTTCTTCCTTTTGGTGGCTGGCTGCGGCTGTTGCTGCAATTTGAAATTTTAATTGGGAGCAGCAGCAGGCAATTTGCATGCGTTCTTCGTCAGGTATATTTGGGACTGTTTTTGGACTCAAGAAACCCTGCTCTGGCCAAGACAACAGAGTTCGTTGTCTCATTCATGGCGACGTCTGAGTGTCTGGCGAATCGCGACGTTATGCCATCGGCCAATGGGTGTGAGTTCAAAGACACAACGGTACATTCAACTTGCTTGTGGGGGACGACAAGGCCATTGCGACGACGACGACGACGACAACGACGACGACAAAGATGAAGAAGACAGCCACGACCACGACGACTAAGTCGACGACACCCACGTGTGGCCACTGGCCCAAAGTCAATGGCCGGCCGAGTTGATTGAACTGGAAATGCCTGCCCCAACAAATTGCAACCACGTTGAACTATGAGAGCACAATTTGCAATTCCAACGCCAAGAACAATGGTCCAGCTTAGCACAGCCTCAATTCAGCTGCGATCTGCTCAGATGCTACGGCATCTGCCCGTAACAATTTCCTTACTTATGCAGAATGTTTAACGGTTTAGCTCCAACATTTCGCCGCCCCCAGGCAGCACAGCAAATCGAACAACAAATGTAGGTGGTATGCATTTTAAAGCAGTGAAAGTGCAAGAAGAACTCGCTCGCCACACAACAAAAACAAAAATAGCAATCAAGAAAATGAAGAAATTTGTGTACGCATAAACAATAACAACAACAATGGAAAATTGCAAAATGTGACGCCAGAGTCAGCTTCATCTCTCTCAATTGGCGTTCATTGTGCCCGTTTGTCAATAGCAAAATAAATCAAATAAAATCGAAAATACAAAATAAAACACAACTATAACAACAGCAGCAATAACAACAACAACAACAATGACGACGGGAAAAGAGCACTGTTTAATAATTCTACATGTCTTTGACTGACTACACTGAATGCATTTCGTCTTTTCTTTCATTGCACTTATTCAATTCTCTTATCTAAGCGTTTCAATTTCTCGACTGCCGCCAAATTTGTCAAAACAAAATTTGAATTGAATTTGTCATGCCAAATGATTTGCTTGCAGCTATTCGCCCAACCACCAACAACCAACCACCCATCCAGCACCCCACACAGGCCCCCTCCACAGCATCGTGTCACGTTACAGCGATGTTATTATGTAAGTGCATTAGCATAAATGTGATTGATCCCACTGTTGTGAGCGTATTATTTGATTTTTATTGATTTTCATGCAAAAATCAATGCAATGCAAAAAAATGCAGCTGCATTTCTTGCTGCTGTTGTTATGAACGATTGAGCTCGAAACGGCATGTTAGTTACCCTACCTACTTGTACTACACCCACCCATCTGCTACCCTCTCCTCGCCACCACCCTCGCCACCACATACATACATACAAGTACAAGTATATGGCCCAAAGTGCTTTGTATGTTGGCCTTGCTACATAACATGTTGCTCGATTCTGGCTTCCGTCTTTAGCCAGTTGTCAGCTGATTTTTTTCTATTTGTGTCAGGCTTCATTTCATCTTGGCCCTCCTCGTGCTGGGTATTGACAATGTCTTCAATTCATTGCAAAGCTTTTGCCTAGCGAGCCACCAAGCCAGCCAGCCAGCCAGTCAGCCAGCACACTTTGCATTTTTGAGCGGGCATGCACATATTTAATAGCCTGATATGACAAAATATGCAGACGTCAGCCCAACACAGGTGAAATTTGCATGGTTATGACAAAGTTTATTGCCTCAAAAGGTTCAAAGCACTGCAAAATGTTCTTCTTACTGCAGCGGAAGCGGTTGCTGCAATGCCACGCTAAAATGGTTGCCCAATTCAGCGCTTTCCGATATTTCATTTAGAAATCTACCCAGATTTTGATTTGTGAGCTTTAGCTTTAATCGAACGCGACATTGACAAAATTAAATGGTTTCACAGTCGCTTAGAATTAAAATAATTTTACGGTAATTTTCCTTCCCTTTCCGCTCGCTTTAAGGTATGATTAAAGTAAGCGTGATCTTATTTTTATAAAAATCACAAAGACGTTATCGACTCATATTTCCTTGCTGCTTGATTGTTTTAATAAACAACTTTACTTTATTTAACAGAGTTAGTGTATACTAAGTGTTTGTGTGAGCGCCAGCTAGGACAAAAATTGATTTCCAATCAGATTTATCTTGCTTCTTTGCTTGGAAGTATATTTGAAGAATATGGAGTTAAGTTTTTATCCCCTCGGCTTACATTTAAATTTCAAACTAATTTCTCTGCGCTGCATCTTAGGATGGCTGACTAGTTAGTCAGTATTTAGCGTACAATTAAGCCACCTGGACAGCTTGACTCATATACTATTTAAATCGATTTTATGTTCAACTTCAGTAATATCCAAAAGTAGACCAGAAATTGCAAAATGAAATTGAAGAAATTCCCAAACTTGCGAAGATTCCAGAACCAAGTAGCAACAAAAAGGTCTACCAAAAGCTATGACCCTTTTTCATTTAATAATTTCTCCCATTTCTTTACAAGATCCAGTACGATACGAGTTCGTTTAAGCCATCACTGAAAGACAATTTTGTTGGATTTGTATTTAAAATATGTATGTATTGTGTAGTAAGCAGGTAATAATCGGTTTCATCGATTTCTTTGTTAGAAACTCTGCCCATATCAAGAAATTCCGTCATAATACAGATATTATTGAGAAATATGTAATGCCGGTATTTTTATTCTGCTGCTTTACACGTACGGGTATCTGAGATATTATCACAAGTTCTGACCGTATTCTCGTTGTACTTTAGAGATCGCCTCAGCCGCCAAGCCTCACGTGATCTGCTCTGCACACCATTTAATAGCTGCCAAGAGATATGAAAAGTAATAGTTGGGAAACGAGTACATGGTACAAAGAGTTACGAGGTATCATTCCGCATCTATATCTATGGGCCACTACTCTTCCCTATTCGAAATGGTGCTTTTTTTACTCAACACTGGCTGACGCTTCTATCTGTTTTCTGGGAGAGGGAATTCATGCGCCATGTGATACCAGTTAGTTCTTTGTACCACGGGTAGATTTCAATATTTGTACCCACCTCATCTGTGGGTGGAAGCCATACTTTTCCTGTATCTCTTCCTTCAGGTATGTCTTCTCTATATGATCGGGATCTAGTTCAAAATGGCGTGGCAGTATCTTCCATTGCACCATGTTGAAGTAGTTGTATTCCCCCACCTCTATGGCGCCGCGAAAAAAATAATTGGGATTGTCGGACTGCCGTCTGACCCACAGGCGCTCGTATTTGTGGAATCGCCAGCCACGTTCCGCCAATTCGGCGGCAGCCAGCAGTTGCATCACGTCACAGGGGAATGTATAGAAGAAGTAAAACAAAAGCTCCACCTGCATTTGATCAATCTTGGGCTGCGGTAGTCCCAGTAAGCCCGAAATATGATAATCAGCCGGCACATCGTACGGCACTTCATACGGATTGCGGCGACCACCATGTAAGGAGCCGCCGAAGGCTGGATGCATCTCACCGCCATCAGATAACAAGTCCACATTCAGCCGCAGGGCATCATATCCGTAGACACCAGACATGAAGAGCGGGCTTCGTTGCGCCGTTCCCAGGCTCTCGGCCAGGCCACGCAATCCGAAGACGTTGCCTGGCATGACTTTGGTATCGAACTTCACCCAATCATCCCCATCACCAGGTTCTACCGTATTAAAGCTAACGCCACCGAGCGGCATGCCCGTCGAATTGGAGCGCATGCGCGGAAAGAACCCCAGGCCCGGTGGCGGTATTGTTCCAGTAGTAGTTGGCGCCTGCAGACCCACTAATTTCGTCATTATGGATCTGCTTTCGGATCGGGCGCGTTGGCCTGCACTCAGAAACTCCAGATCGAAGATATAGCTGGAGCCAAGGCGTCCATGCATGGTCAGATATTCGTACAGTTGTGGTAGGAACTCGATGTTGCGATAGTAGCTCACCACCGAGTTGCTCGAAGCCGAGTTGCTGGAGCCGCTCTTGCTTTCATTCTGAATGCTCCCGTTGTCGTCGTCGTTATTCAGATCAGGCACCTCTTCGTTGGCTAACTTGTTCTCGCACACGGACTGGCACTCACAGGTGGAGGAGCAAAGCTCGTGATTGCTGCTACTGTCACTGACACAGCCGCTTCCACTCGCACAGCTCTCACTGCTGTGGGTGGCAGCTGGCGAATGCCCCGACTCAGGATCGTCTTCATCTTCTCCACTGGCACCCGGCGATGTATCGCTGGCCAGCGATTGCATTGGCCCCCCGACGCCCTCCTCCTCCTCCTCCTCGCCAGTTTCGTCATTGTCGCTGAGCATGGCCGTCCAATCATCGGGAACCACAGGACTGGTACTTGGGCGAGAGTTGCGACCAGCACGTGCGCCCGGTAGAGCGGGAAAATCCTCATGAAATATGCTAAACTCAGGAGGTGGAGGCGGCGACTGCGGCACTGGATCTGGCTTGGGCATATTTTTGACCACATCCACATAGAGGACGGCCCCATCGAGAGTGCTGGGTGTGGCGACAGCTTCAGCAGCGGCGGCCGCCAAGGCATTGCTGACAAGAGCTTTGCGGGCATTATGACGCTTCATTTTGCAAAAAAAAAAAAAAAATACTTGACAGAGAGTGAATTAATAATATAAAAGTCACTACCGATTTGATCTTGAGGCGAACAAAAACTTTGTGTGATTAAAAACTCGCTGACTAAACAATTGGCAAGAATAATACAAGTAGACACAGGCCGCACCATCCGTATTTTTCAACACTTAAATAATCACAAAAGTGCTGTCAAGCAGGCAACATCTTCAGGCAGTACTTTATTGCTGGATCTTTATTAGCATAGTATTATCTTTGGGCACGGAGAGATAGAATAGAGGAAAAGCCAAACTAAATCGCAGCCAGTGTTCTTGATAAGCCGACAGGTTTAAAAAAGGCATCCCCGTCGATCTCTTCAAAAAAAGATAAGGTAGAGATGACATTGTGTTGGAGATGAGACACTTTTCCTAAATACATGACTAAGCTGCGAGGCTACTTAATGTTAATGTATTATGTAGATGAAGATATGTACATATGTAAACTATTTTCTAGGAAACTTGAACATAATAATCTTGTACTCCAAAGTCTTTATATTTGAAGTGATTATATCTAATTGTTAGCAATAGGAACAACAAATCATAACTCATTTATATAAAGTGAATGTCAGAGTCAATGTAAATAAAAATAAATCTTTTTATTTTCACTTTAAGCGACATTTAACAAAGCAGAAAGATAATGTATGGGTGAGTAGATTTGACAGCATATTCGATCTGTATAAATATCGTGCTCTGGCGTGAGTCACGACGTACTGCGCCAATGTGACAAAAATACGCATGGGCGATATTTATACTCTGTACATGAAATGCACAAGAGTATATTATGTTTGCCAGGGTCAAGATGCCTTATGTGAATCCACAGAAAATGTGTATTATGGGATTTCCCTCCCTCCCCCCTCTCCCAAACAGTTAATAATTTTCCATAACTCCCGCGATTCTCATCATTTTGGAATGAAATTTGGCAAATACTTCCAGTTAGTGATTATGAGACCTTATGCCAAGTTTTGTAATGATAGGCCGATTTTAAAGGAAGTTATAGCCATATATAGGTCATCCTGATTCAGATGGGCACAAAAATCTATCCCGAAAATCATAAAAAGTTAGAATCTGCATCTAACTAATAATATATAATAATTATTTGATCTACATATGTCGAGGTTAGGAAAGATGATCTCATTAAAAATATTTTTTAATATGTTGAAGAAGTTTATCTGAAAAAACAATATTTTCAAGAAGTTGTCAATTTAATGGAGCTCAAATGGAACTTAGAAAATATCTACAACTATAATACAAACTCGATCGGTTATACCTATCTTGACCATTGAACGATTGATTTAATACCTAAAATAAAACTAGTGGCAATTTCGAAGAATGTTTTTCTAAACTATTACTTTGGAAAGTACCATATAAGCAGGATAGTTAGTTGCTGAAATGAAGCGATACGAATACCTATAATGGAAGGCTGAGTAATAACCGATATTCGAATGCAGCAATTTAATTAATTTAAATTGAAAATATATGTTGTTTTATAAAATTTTGATTGCATTTAAAAAGCAAATAAAGAAGAACGCTTAGAGATTATTTCATTTATATAAAATAAATATAAAAATACGCAACCACAATCTGTCAAGTTGTGATCACTCCTTGATATGTTTCATAAACACAGCCAGATCTGGTCACCATTGGGGTTAATTCCGAAGTTGAGGTAATATTTAGAATAATACATGAAAAACAATGCCACCTTTTTCCGAGAAGGAGAGGAACCAATCCATTCTCTTACTTCCGTTTGTCCCTGCATGTCCTCAGTGTTTTGTATAACATTTATAATTTGTATTTCTGCTCGCTTTTGCCAGTTCTTATGAGCATCGCCTATTGGGTTACTCACGATTTTTCTAGTCGCATTGATTACCTCTCGGAGACCGTGAAGACCGGACAACAACTATATACATTCAGGGTAAACCTATTGAAGCGTACACACATCCAATACATCACGATCTCTGCAACGGAATAGAGAGCTCAAAGTCCGAATCCGAGTCAGAATCTGATGAGGAATCAGACGACAATACTGCTTAAGTGTGTGCTTAAGTGTGTGTGGGTGCTGCGGCAATTGCCATAAAACCAATTTGAAAATTAACACCATAAATCAGATGTTGTATATGCGTTGGCCAAGCAAATTCACCTGCAAACTGCTCAACTATAAATTAAGGTAAACGTTCATGGAAATGGCCATAAGAATTTGCGGAGAATAACCCATTAACTCAAAATGACACTGAAGCCACATAAATCTCGTTCCATACACTCTTTCTTGCCATTGGTCTTGGAGGCAAATGTCTGGAGATTGACAAAAGAAGCACCGCGCGGAGCGTCATCGACTGGAGCTATAATGTGGTGGTGGGGTGTAGTTTCTGTGGAGTGGGCGTTGCAGGCGTTGCTGTGGTGCGCTAATAGACCGGCTCGACAGACAGACAGACAGACAGACAAAGCCACGAATATGATCTTGTAGGTAGAATGACTTGACTGGTTATTTTAAGTGTTCCCTGTTCAAATTAACAAAACGAGCCTGCGGCTCTGCAAAAGTGTCTGTGTGAGAGAAAAAGAGAGAAATCGGCTAACAACGTGTGATGAGGGGGTCCTGTGGGAATTCTACAGCTGAATGCTTTTGAAGTAGGCCATATATTACAAATATTAGCTTAGCTTAGATTCAACTTCCTCCTGGGGAGTGCTTTACATGTATGTATTTTCTTATTTTATGCAGCAATTTCTATTCCCAATCTTATTTACTCTTGAAGCAATTTCCAGTCCGCGAAATTAATCGTTTTTATAATATTGTGTTATTAATAATAAACTTTAATGCTACATCTCTAAAGCCTTGATTACCATAAAAATTATATGTTTTTATTGGAAACCAGATGAAAATAAAAATACAATAACAAGCCACTGCTTTGCCTTAGGCTAAGAACTTTCCTCTGCTAATCTGTAATTGTAACATTAAGTTAAGTATTATAAGTATATTTATTTCTATGAACGGTTGATGGAGGTGGCGTCAACTGTACCACCAAATAATAAATTTGGAAGTAAATCGTAAGTGCTGTGGCATTTAAATATACTTCCCCTACTAATCTCTTCAACTTGTTATCCATGCAAAAGAGCTTCAACTTCAACATTTTCTATCGCCAATTGAGCATGCGCACGAACTTTTTCACAAATCAGGTGCACGCCGGAGACCAAATTAGGCCCACCAATATAAAAAGCAATGCTATACAATAAAAGCCAATGCCGATGCCTCAAGCAAAGAAAAATGATACACATAAAGCATTGAAAAAGCAGCTAACGAAGCGGTAACAAAAAATATGAGACAAACATTGCGCGAGAACGTCACGAATTCCATTTGGCTCTCGATACAGACAGACACAATGCAGTCAGGAGCTGGAGCTAGAGTTGGAGCTAAAGCAGGGGTCTGCCTAGAAGCTGCAGCTACATAAAATATAATAAATCATACTCATGTTGCGCTGGGCCAAATTCAACGACAACGAGGAGCAGCAGCCACCAGAGACAGCACTTTGTAGACAGGCGATGGCGATGGGTCAGCCAATTCCGGAGCCATTAAATTGGGATGCGGCAGAACAAGTGAAGCCTGGCAGCAGTTGGTTGTGGCAAATGCCAAGGCATTCAGGCTGAAGGTGTGTTTTGTGCAGCGTCTTTTGGCATCGATGAATGAGTATTCTAGCCAAGTTCAAGTCAACCAAGCACTGACGCATTGCTCTATGGAAATTTGCTAAAAGCGACGCCCATCGCTGACACAAATGACCCAACGCACATCATTCAACTGCGTGTGCGACTGCATCTGCGCTTAGAGTCCTTATGGATAGCCGCCTAATGACGCAAAAGTGGGTGTGACCGCACTCAAGCACTTGTAACACACAGCCCTTAAACCTTTCTAGACCCTGGGGAACAATATGATCCAAAATGGTTAGTTAACTTTTGTATTATTACAAGCTAAATTCAATTAAAAATTCATATACTTTTGGAGTTCAACAAATAACGAAGATACAAGATAAGAATAATTATGCCCCAATATTTTAAAAGATTATTGATCCAGTCTCGTAAGATGTTTTAAGTATACATATTACTAGGTATATAATTCTATGCTTATATTATAAAGAGTAAAGATTTGATTGTTTGTTTGTTTATTTAAATTTACCGGACCGATTTAAAGGATTCTTTCACTGAAGCTTCACTATTCCGTATTAACTATATTATATTTGAAAAAAAAAAATAAAAAAAAATAGGCATCCTAGCCAAAACTCCAATAAAGTAGCCCAAGGTGTAAAGAAATTAGCTAAAATATTACATTCCCGAAACGGATGCTGTTCGATCAGAATCATCCTCGAATCATTTTGTCGCATTAAATATTCAGGCAATATTAATATCAAAAGTCCCCAGGCAAATAAAAAAAATTACAATCGATCGAAACAGTGAATAATATTACCCACACGAATTTTTAAACTCACTAAGCCGTTCTGGACTGCAGCCAGATGAATTGAGAGATTTACAGGTAAGCTCCGACTCAATAAATAATAACCAAAAAAATCTAAGAAAGAACAAAGAAATCGTTTAAATAATAATATAATTTTGCTCTTTTTAAGTAACTCATAGCAAAAAGAAGGATGTATGTGTATGTGTAATAAAATTTATAATTTGTAAAAAATGTTAACATACTAGTGCGAAGCAGGGCGGGACGCTAACGTTTTATATAAATCTAAATAGAAATGCTTTAAAACTTCATAGCTGACTTTTTTATGATAAGTTTTAAAAGGAGCTGAATTGTTCCGATTTTCAAGTTTATAACAAGTTTATATCTAATCCATCGGTGCTTAGAACGAAAAACCCCGTTCGAGGGTTAAACCATTAAGGTGTTTCTGCCAGTTGCAACATGCGCATGTTTTACGAGCCTGTCGGGGCTTGTTCTAGACGCTTAGCCCGGCCATTAGCCGAGCTAGATAATTGCCATATTTTTATGTTTTCGGCAACACTAAAAAACTCCAACATAGATCA